CGTCGCGTGAGAGGCATCGAGCCTGACACGTTCTCCAGTATATTGCGAGGCACCACCGCGATGATATGATTCGCGAAGGTCCGGGCCTTTTTAGATTCCTCCCTCCCCCGCTTGGCGATTTGGTGGAGGGGGGACTGCAACCATAGCAGCTTATGCTAGAGCTACATGTCGTTGTGGAGCCAGGTCGCACAGTGATGTTGTGGAGAGGTTTTTTTCTGAGCCAGGCATCATGAGGGCTGGCATGCAGGAGTTTCTTTTTTTCGCACTGCGCGTTCAGTTTTGCCACTCCTGCAGTGCTCCAGGTCTTGTGGATCTGGAAGTCCTGGCTCCGATCTTTTAATGCCTGGCGCGGTGGCGAAAGCCCTCGGGAGGCCACCGTGCTCACTGCAGTGTGAACATCCGCACCCTGGGCAAGCCGATATCAGGAGCGGAGCGGCCCACCGGTCTGGCACAGGTGTCAGCTCTTCTCCCGACCCATCGGCGCCATCCGGCCTCCCATCCGCAAGCTCACTCTCGGGGACGCGATCTCTCGCATCTGCTCGAAGCCGAGCGGGTTCTGCGAACTCTACCTGCAAGGAGGAACGACTCGTCTACTCTGTAAGAACGGTTTTTTGAAGGCAGATCTGCCTTCAAAAAATTCGTCTACTCTGTAAGAACGGTTTTTTGAAGGCAGATCTGCCTTCAAAAAATGTGTAAGAACGATTTTTTGAAGGCAGATCTGCCTTCAAAAAACCGTTCTTACAGCGCATGGGGGCGAGCCGCCGCCTCCGGCGGCCGGCCGTGCCAGGGCGTGCCTCCGAGGGCGGCGAGCGCCGGGAGAGCCCGCGGGCGCGCGGGCTCCCTGGGCCACCCGGCGGGCTCCTCCCTGGAGCGGGCAGGCTCCTTGGCGTCGCTCGGACGTGTGCATTTTTTTTCTCGGCGTGGACCACTGGGGAGCATTTTTGATCATTTGGCGAAAACTGCACGCACGACATCGACAAGTGCACGGGGAATGGACGTCCGAGCGATGGCGGGGTTCCGCCGCAGGGCTGCCCCGGTGCCCGTGGAGGGGGAGCCCGGTTCCACCGAAGCTTCGCCGCAGCAGCCACGAGCCCCCACTTCCAGCAGTGAGCCTCCAGGTCGCCCTCTTGCAGCAGGGCAGAACGAGTCGACGGCCGAGTCCAGCGGCTTCGATGTCTTGGGCATTCATCCGCCCCAGTGTGCCTCCTGCAGGACCTGCAAGTGGCCCGTTCTGTGAAGCAGACACAGGAAACGGCAACGTGCTGGTTTCGATTGCAGGGGCGCCCTCTTTGCTGACTGGATGCCGGGTTGCTACACTTGTGGCAAGCATATTTGGGAAGCTCAGCGGCGCGGCAAGAACATGATTAGACTCGACAATGGCTTTGGATACCGACAGTGTTTGGTCAAAGGATCGGCCTCCGAGGTTCAACCCACATTGATTCGCTGGTTCGCTGCCAGGGCCGCCAGGTACCTGAAAGTTTTCACACCAGAGCGCAAGCCTTGAAAGCTTCAATCGGTTGCCAGTGAATGATTTCAGCCGTTGTTACTTCCCTGCTGTGTGATGCGCGTCACTTTTGTTTTACATGTCTTATTTTATTCAATGTGATTTGTCGCCTGAACACCCGAGCGTCCTCCCCGCACTATTCTGGCATTCGTATTCGGATGGTGTCCAGCTGCCTGCGGCATTCTAGGTGGCGCTTGCTCGAGGGGGCACTGGGGCCGTCACGTGTAGCGCCTCGTGTCTCCAGGTTTGGGACCGCTGTGCTGAGAACGATGAGGATTATGAGGGTGATGGTGACGGTGATGAAGATAAATATTATGATAACCGATGAGGCTGCCTGGTGATGATGATGATAATCATGATGATGATGATGATGATGATGATGATGATGATGATGATGATGATGATGATGATGATGATGATGATGATGATGATGATGATGATGATGATGATGATGATGATGATGATGATATGATGGTGATTGAGGTGGTAGGTGGTGCTCGATGATGCTGAGATTGGGATGAGGACCGAGGATGGGGATGGTTGATTGATGCTGATGGTTGGTTGTGATGATGATAAGATGACGATTTGATTGATGATGACGATTTTTGTGATTATGATGTCTGATGCTGATGATAATGATGATGATGATGATGATGATGATGATGATGATGATGATGATGATGATGATGATGATGATGATGATGATGATGATGAGGATGAGGATGAGGATGACGATGCTGATGATGGTGATGCTCATGATGATGACGATGATGCTGCTGATGATGATAATGATGATGATGCTGCTGCTGATGATTATGATGCTGAATTTGATGCTGCTGCTGCTGCTGCTGCTGCTGCTGATGATGATGATGATGATGATGATGATGATGATGATGATGATGATGATGATGATGATGATGATGATGATGATGATGATGATGACTCGTTTGATCGTCTTGGGGCTGTCGTGACCTCCTGTGAGGCAGTCGTGGGGGTCCCTTGGAGCCGTCTGTAGGCCCTCTTACGCCGGTGGGCCCTCTTGGCCGTATGGTGGGTACCTGGGGGTTGTCGTGGGGCCGTCTTGGTGCCTTCTTGGGCCGTCGAAGGGTCTTCTACGGCTGTCTTGGAATCCACGGGAGACCCTCTTGGGTCGTCTTGGGGCCGTCTTGGGCCCGTCATAGATGCGTTTTGGGCCATCGTGGAGTTCTCTTGGGCCGTCTTTGGCTGACGGCAGCCCAACAAGGCATGAATGCGAAACTAGTTTAAACACCACCTGGAAACCACTGGTTTTGGCTTCTTCGGTCTCTGTTGGAGGTCCTCTCTTGTGGCCCTTTTGAGCCCTCTTGGAGGCATCTCCGGCCGTTTTGAAGCAATGCTCGGAAGCTTTGGGGCCATCTTAGCCCGACTTCGAGGCAACTTGGGCCATCTTGGTGTCCTTGGTTGCCTGCACGGGCCGTCTTGGAAGCTCGGGACGTAGATCTGTCGATTTTAACCATGAATCGCCATGCAGGAAGTGCACTATTCTCGAGCGGGAGCTCGTGGAAGGGAAACTCAGGCATTAGCTGCCATGCGGGAAGTGCACCATCTTCGAGCGGGCACGCGTGGAAAGGGGGTTCAGGGAGTAGCTGACATGCGAGAAGTGCACCATCCTCAAGAGGGCACGTGTGGAAAGGAATTTAGGCGTTAGCTGCCATGCTGGAAGCGCACCATCCTCGAGCGGGCACGAGGGAAGTGGCCTGGGTGAGTAGGGGGGATGCACGCAACAGTCTGCTGGTAGAGGGTGGGCGGTCCCTTCTTATATTACGGAATCCATGTCAATCAGCCCTTGGCATTCTTCCGCGCCTCGGCGTGCCACGGGGCACGGTGGCTGATATTCTGGCGGTGCTGTTTAGTGCAGGTAGGGGGACCGGCTGGCGGCGCGTGTGGCAGAAGAGTATTTCTTTGAGGCGGCAGTTCTCGACAAACGGCTTTCTCCTGCAGTCAGGACTGGGCTCGTGGCGCTGAAGGCGCTCTTCCTCCTGTGCTTGGGTCGGGGGTTTCCCCTTACCTCGCTCCCCCCATTCGTCGTCGTCGTCGTCGTCCCCCTCCTCCTCCTCCTCCTCCTCCTCCTCCTCCTCCTCCTCCTCCTCCTCCTCCTCCTCCTCCTCTTCGCATCTCCTCCTCCTCCTCGTCGTCGTCCTCCTCCTCCTCCTCTTTCTCTTCCCCCTCCTAATCCGCGCATTTCCTCATGATCTTCCTGCCACTTCTCCTCCTCCACCCGCCTCCCCCTCCTCCTCTTCCTCCCTGCTCCTCCTCCCCCTTCTCCTCGTCCTCCCGTGTGCTCATCCTCCTCTCCCCCTCCTCCCCCGCCCCCCTCCTCCCCTCCTCGTTCTTTTTATTGTATTCCTCGTCCTCATCGTGGCAGTTGCGCTCTAGATCCTAGGAGTGCAGGCTGCCGGAGTCGGCTGCGATCTTGGCCTATGCTGTGGTTCGGCCTTCAAGTGCAGCGTCAATTTCCCCAGGCTGGGCGATGATACATCTTCATCCTCATCATTATCCTCATCATCGCCATCAGCATCATCAGCATCATCATTATCATCATCAGTAATATGAACATCATCATCACTACCCTTTCCATCACCATCATCAATATCACAACCATCATCAATAACACCACCATCATCATCATCACCATCATCATCAGCATCATCATCAGCATCATCATCGTCATCAGCATCACCATTACCATCATCATCAGCAGCATCACCATCATCATCACAATCCCACGTTTCATCGTCACAAGTCCCATCAGCATCATCATCGTCGTCGTCACCATCACCCTCAGCAGCATAATCAACATAAGCATCATCATCATCACCAGCATCATCATCACCATCAACCCCACCACCATCATCCTCATCATCACAATCATCATAATCATCACCACCACCATTATCATCGTCATTATCATCATCGTCAGCATCACTATCATCCTTATCATTATCATCAGCATCACAATCATCATCATCAACATCCTCATCATCATCACCCTCATCATCATCGTCACCATTCTCATCATCATCGCCATCGCTATCGCCACCGCCATAATCATGATTATCATTATCATGCTGATCATCATGCTGCTCATCATCATCATCATCATCATCATCATCATCATCTTCATCATCATCAGCATCATCATCATCATCATCATCATCATCATCCTTCTCATCATGATCATCCACATCATGATCATCACCATCATCATCATCGTCATCATCGCCATCATTCACAACATCATCACAATCATCATCAGCATCATCATCACCATCAGTAGCAGCATCATCATCATTTTCCTCCTTCCTCTTCGTCATCATGTACTGGTTGCGCGGCCTGTAGGGCGATACGCTCCCAGCGTTGACACACATCTTCATGTTATGCACCAGTGTGCCGCCTTTCAATTTGCTGTTCGACTGCAGGGCATTGTCATCACCGTCACCATCGTCGCCATCGCCGCAGCCGCTTTCACCACCCGTAGCCATTTTGGCCTAAGTGATTTGACGTCCGCCGTCCGCTGGCGCACTCGGAGAGCCTCCAGCTTGTTGAGCGCCTGCACCGCTCAGGCCGCAGGTGGAGGGAAAGACAATTGTTACCATGACCTGACCCCGGAAACTTTAGGGCCGATCTCGGTCACCGTCCATTTTGGTCATCTTCTGTTCGTGGACCATCCTGGCGAATCGGCGACGGCTGGCATGGACCATGACCAAGATCTGCGTCGACAAGACCCCGCGACATCCCCAGACCCCCGACGTCATGACTTTTCCACAACGTCGGTCCCCACATGTCTCGATCTTTTTCCCCAGGCCCGGCTTTTCAGCCCCAGTCGTTTCTTGACAGTTGCAGGGCTAGGCGAGGGCCCCCAGAGGCTGAAAATAGCCACACCAACGTCCGCCGTGTTTTTGTTTTCGCGACGCGAGGGGGCCTTGATCCTTGACCTGGGCCGTGGTCAGCGTGCTTCTGCCCTCCAGCAGGCAGGATCTAGCCCGATGGGGGCACGCCGCGCGGCGCTGCGGCGCCAGCTGACGGCGAGCCGGCGCTCGGGCGACCTGCGGGCGCTGCTGGGCCAGTTCCGCGCCAAGTCCGCCCTGGCGTCCACGCAGCGGGGGCCGCAGGGCCTCGGCAGAGCCCCGGCCACGCAGGCCCGAGGCAGCGTTTTAGGGGGGATAGGCTCGGGGGGGAGGGGGGCGCCTCGACCGGCCCTCTGTCGCCCGTGCCTCGCCGACAGGGGCTGGATGGCTTGTTCATTTTTTTTTTTTTCTTCTTGATTTTTTTTTTTTTTTTTTTTTTTTTTTTTATTTTTTATTTTTTTTTATTTTTTTTTTTTTTTTTTCTTTTTGTTTTTTTTTTTTTTTCTCTTTTTTCTTTTTTTTTATTTTTTTTTTTTTTTTTGTTTTTTTTTTCAACTTTTTTTTTTTTTTTTTTCATTTTTTTTTTTCCCTTTTTTCACGGCTCACCACGCCCCAGACCTGTTCGGGGAGGCGGAGGAGGAGGAGAGGAGGAGGAGGAGGAGGAGGAGGAGGAGGAGGAGGAGGAGGAGCTCGCCATCGGGGGCCTATCGCCGATGCATCGGCGATGTATAGCGCCGATTGCAGCTCGGTGTCCACCCCCCTGGGCCAGTCCCCCCCTTGTCGCTCCTCGCCGCGCAGGCGCCAGACCTGGTGGCCTCCTGGAAGAAGTCGGACCTGGGCTCAGGAGGGCTCCCCAGATCATCTCCGACGGCGTGATGTTGTCGATCCGGGTGCTTTTTCCCGGCCTCTGGGGCCCGTGATCCGGCCCCCCCAGGGACCATCAGACGTGTACCCGGGGCGACGGATTGACCCCGGGGTATGGGTCGGGGCTTTTGGCCCAGACCCCCAGAAGTCTGGACCCCTTCCCAGGGACCCGTTTTTCGTCCTGAGTCTTTCCTTGACCGTCCTGGGGCGCGGTGGTGACCTCCGGAAGCCCCAAAAATAGCCCATCGCCTTCCGTCGTGATTTTTGCACCGCGCGAGGGGCTCTGGAGGGGCCTCGGATGGAAGCAATCCGATCGGCGGAGGTCGGGGTCTGGTCCGCCGATGGGGGCTCGATCGGGTCGCCGGGTCGCGGGCCGGTCCGTCGATCGGTATCGTGGTCTGGGGGCGGTCGTTCGGGCCTCCCGGCCACAGAGGGGCCTAGACAGGTTTCGGGGCGGGCCCGCGCGGTGGGTTCGTTGCGGGCTCCCGCGGTGCCTGTGCTGGTGGCGGCGCGGGCGGCGGTGCGCTCATGGGCAGCGGGGTCTACCCCGGCGGCGCGGGCGGCGGCGCGCTCATGGGCAGCGGGGTCTACCCAGGGATGGGCTACGCTGGCGGTGGTGAGGCGTATCAGCGTCGCGGGCATCGATGAGCATCAGGCCATCGGTGAGCATCAGGCCATCGGTGAGCATGAGGTCATCGATGAGCATCTGGCCTTCGAGGGGCATCGGGCCATCGATGAGCATCAGGTCATCGGGAATCAGACTCTGGATCGGGTCCGCGGGGTGGGGGGCTTCTAAGGACCCGGGTCACCAGAAGTTTGCCCCCGCTTACCAGCGCCGGCTGCCCCACGACGGCGCCACGGCGGCGGCATACGTGGCCTACGCCTTCAGCGAGCAGGCCTTCAGCGAGAGCAGCACCCATCCGTCGCATTCTCTATCTTCTTTTGATTATTGTAGTTGTTTTTTTTCTTCTCATTTTTTTCCTCTGCATCTTCTGCATATATGTCTAATTCGTATTCTCGTCATTCTTATTCTCAGTCTTACTGCTAAGGCCTTACGGCCGGTGCCGCCGACCCTGAAGACGACGACGACGAATACGAGGAGGTGGAGGAGGAGGAGGAGGAGGAGGAGGAGGAGGAGGAGGAGGAGGGGGATTAAGGTGGAAGGGAGCAGGAGAAGGCGAAGGAGAATTTCCTCATGTGGGCCGAGAGAGTGGTAGCAGAGACCGACAGGGAGACTTGTGGCCTGCGGCCCTTCCCGCCACCGTGCTGGGGTTGTGGTTGAAAGGCTTCTTGGATGTTTTCGGGCCTGTTGGGGCCTCTGTTGCTTTTGGGGGTCTCTTGGGGGCCCCTTCGGGCCCCTTGAGGGGCTCTTGGGGCCTTCCGGGGGCTTCTTGGGGGCGGGAAGCTCGAAATGTCGGTTCGTGGTCCTCTTCTTGGGCCTGCTTGGGGCCCTCTTGGCGCTTCTTGGCGCTTTTTTGGGTTCTAGGACGCCCAAGGGCGGATGCGTATCTGACCCCCCCCCCTCCCGGGTCCTCCCCCTCGGCGGGGGAGGGATCAAAGGGAAGGGGCTCCCTTCGACTTAAGTACGACGTTGCTACGGTTTTCTCTCGCTGACAGGCTTGAAGAGGAGGGTGCAGGGAAAGGGGACCGCGGAGGCGCAGGGAAAGAGGACAACGGAAGCGTCGACTGAGCGCACGCCGAAAGGGGGTCCACACACCGACAGTGTCGGCGGATTCTGTATATTCTTCTTCTTCTTCTACTTCCTCCTCCTCCACCTCCTTTTGTGCTTGTGTGTGTATGTGTGTGTTTGCGTACGTGCGTGCGTGCGTGCGTGCGTGCGTGCGTGGGTGCGTGCGTGCGTGCGTGCGTGCGTGCGTGCGTGCGTGCGTGCGTGCGTGCGTGCGCGTGCGCGTGTGTGTGTGTGTGTGTGTGTGTGTGTGTGTGTGTGTGTGTGTGTGTGTGTGTGTATGTGTGTGTGTGTGTGTGTGTGTGTGTGTGTGTGTGTGGGCTACGGTGTCGCCTGTCGGGGCGCTCTCGTGCCTGCCCGCCCCTGCCTCTCGCCTCCCGCCGCGCTTCGCAGGCCCGCAGGTCTTGGCGCTGTGACTCACACCTGGGGCCGCGCCCTGCTGGTTCACTGGGGCGGGCCTCTGCTTCGCATGTGGTGCTCCCCCACTGGCCACCCAGTCTTGCTGGGCTGCCGTCCCCAGCTGCAGCTCAGTGCCGGCGCTGGTTCACCCCCCGCGGCGATTCCCCTGCCGCAGCCTGTGACTTGCCTGAGTGGGCCCGGCTTCCTCTCCCTGTCGCGCCGGGGCTCCGCCTCCTCCCTCGTGCATCGCGGCTTTCATTTGCATGCAGTGTGTCACCTGCTGCCTGTTCGCCAGAGCAGTCGCCCTCTGCTCAGCCGCCGACGCAAAAGTGCGTGTGTGTGTGTGTGTGTGTGTGTGTGTGTGTGTGTGTGTGTGTGTGTGTGCGTGTGTGTGTGTGTGGTGTGGTGTGTGTGTGTGTGTGTGTGTGCGTACGTGTACGTGTGTGTGTGTGTGTGTGTGTGTGTGTGTACGTGTGTGTGTGTGTGTGTGTGTGCTTGTGTGCGCAAGAGGGCGCCAGCTCCAAGCGAGCCCCCTCCGGGCCGCCCCCCGCAGGGCGGTCGGGCGCGACCCGAGCCGCGACTCGCCTCACGCCCCCGCGCCATCACCTGGCGCGGCCCCGCGGCTGCCAGGGCCCGGGTGGCTCCCCTCGCTCCCGAAGGTGTTCGGATCTTCCAGGCGTCGCCTCTGAGGCGCGAGGCCGCCGCCGCCCGGCCCTGGCCTCCCCGGTGCCCCCCCCGCACGTGGCCCCCCGATCCCGCCCCTGCGCCGGACTCCGAGAGCGCGCCCCGGCACCGGCCTCCCCTCGGCTATAGCTGCCACCTCCCGAGGCCCCGCTGGCTCGGGCCCGGCCAAGCTCGGAGAGCCGCTCCGGGCCGGCCGGCGCCCCACCGCCCAAGCAGCGAGCCATCGCCAGCTGGGCGGCTGGGGCGGCCGCATCATCAGCATCTGACGCTGGCCACCTCGCTCCGGTCCACGAGGAGGAGGAGGAGGAGGAGGAGGAGGAGGAGGAGGAGGAGGAGGAGGAGGGGGAGGGGGACCATCGCCGACTTCATTGCCGTTCACTGGCACGGCTGGGTCATTCGGCACTCGTGCGCTGCAGGCTCCGACCACGCCAGCCAGGTGTCTCTCGAGCCCCGTGCCCTCTCTTCGGGGGTGGGCAGACCTCGCAGACCTCCTACCCCTTGGCATCGCTCGGACGTGTGCATGTTTCCTTCGGCGAGGACCATCGAGGAGCATCCTTGATCATTTGGCGAAAAAACCACGCACGAAACCAAACAAAAAACAGGGACTGGACGTCCGAGCGATGGCCGGACCCTGACACGTCGATTAAGGAACTGGCCGTCTTCGGTTCGCGAGAGGGCCTCGCGGCCGCCATTTTTGCGGCTCCAGGTCCGTCGGTTTCGGTCCCAGGCCGTGTTCACTAAGGGGAGGTTTGCTAAAGGGAGGCTTGTCCACCGCCGATCTCTGCTCACCAGCTCAGCCCCTACATCCGCTCTCTCTCTCTCTCTCTGTCAACGTCCTCGCCGCCGCCTCGGTCCGGGCGGACCCCGCTCCCTCCACTGCCGGCGGTGGCTCTGGCGCATTCGTCGCCCCAGAAGCGCTCTCCCTCCCGCGACCTCCCGCGCCCTCAGGGGAGGAGGGCCAGGCAGTAGCGCCCCGCGGCATCCTGCCGCCCATCCTCATGATGTTCCAACCTAGGTGAACCTTGATCGCCAGAGAGAATTTCGAGCACCAGAAGAGTACCGAAACTCGAGGGTTTTCACGTGTCGGGCCCTTGGAGACACTCGTCCGACGCTCTTTCGACACTCTCTCTCGACACTCTCTCGGCACTCTTCCGGGTGCTCGGAATCATTTTTGTGGGATGTGGTCCTCAAGTAGAGGATGGGAGCAACATGAGCCCATCCCCGTCTCGCCAGAGGCTGCCGCCTGGCGCTGTGGCTGGTCGTTGTGCACCTCGTGTTCCCCTGGCGTCCGCGCTGCGCCCCCCATGCGGGACGTACCCTCGGGCGGCGGCCAGTGCGGTCTTCAGAAGGGGAAAAAACACACAGACACAATGAATCGTCGATTTCCCGGAAAAATATGGGAAAACATGGGAAGTGGGGGGGAAGACAAAAAACCAGATCATATGGGAAACTATGGGGCATCTCGTTAGTTGTGTGTGTATTTATGTGTGTGTCCTTGGGCCCCTTGAGGTCTCCCCTCTCCCCGCCCTCCACGCCTGGCTGGCGATGTGCTGCCCCCCTCTCAGCTGGCCCGCGCGCGCACCGGCTTAGGCTTCCGCCGCGCGCGAGGCCGCGCCCACCAAGCAGGCGTGCGTGTGTGCGTGTTGTGTGTGCGCGTGTGCGTGTGCGTGTGCGTGCGCGTGCGTGTGCGTGTGCGTGTGCGTGTGCGTGTGCGTGTGCGTGTGTGTGTGTGTGTGTGTGTGTGTGTGTGTGTGTGTGTGTGTGTGCGTGCGTGCGTGCGTGCGTGCGTGCGTGCGTGAGTGCGTGCGTGCGTGCGTGCGTGCGTGCGTGCGTGCGTGCGTGCGCGTGTGTGCGTGCGCGCGTGTGTGTGTGTGTGTGTGTGTGTGTGTGTGTGTGTGTGTGTGTTTGTGTGTGTGTGTGTCAGTGTCAGTGTCAGTGTCAGTGTCAGTGTCAGTGTCAGTGTCAGTGTCAGTGTCAGTGTCAGTGTGTGCGTGTGTGTGTGTGTGTGTGTGTGCATGCGTGCGTGCGTGGGTGCGTGGGTGCGTGGGTGCGTGGGTGCGTGTGTGTGTGCATTAGAGAAAAGAAGAGGCCTTCATCTACCCGATCACGCCTGCCACGCCCATGGGCGACGCCTTCGCGGCCTGGGAGGCGAAAGGCAAGAAGAACCTCTTCGGGGAGCCCTGCCAGGTCACCCAGATGCAGAGCGAGGGTGGGGCAGCTGGCGCCCTTCACGGAGCGGGGGCAACGTCAGGGGGGGAATTAGTCCAGGAGGGGGAGCATCGACCCCGAGTCGCCCATTCAAATCGGCGCGCCTGGGCGCCCCACCCCGCACAGGAACCTGAGGCCTCGCTATCGAGAGCCTAAGGCCGATCTATCTGCGATGAATCGCCGATTGCAAGCCCCAGACATCCGACATTTTTGTTCAATGCGCGGTCCCAGAAGTCCCGACCCTCTCTGCGGATAGTTTTTCGACCCGGATCCTTTTTTGACGGTCCAGGGGCCCGATCACAGGCCACAGGGGCCGAAATCGAGGATAAACGCCTGGATTGAAACACATTTTCCATCGGAGATGTGTGACTGTAGTGATGATGAGTTCCCCCCCAGGAGTGGTGGACGTGGGGACGCTCGCGACCACCTTCACCTCGTCGCAGGTCGCTCGTTCGCCCTTTTGCTTCCTCCTTGCGCCTGTTTCTTCCTCCTGCTGGCGACTTTACGCGATTTTCGTGGGAGTGAGTTGAGTTTCCAATTGCCGGCGCATGCGTGGGGAGTCGGCCTGGGGTTGCGTTCCGTTGTGGGGAAGAATGCCTTCACCTCGTCGCAGGGCCTGCTGCTCATGATCCCCAACATGTACATCCTCGCCGGCGCGCTCAACCCGTGCGTCATCCACGTGGCCGCGCGCGCGCTCACGAAGCACGCGCTGTGCATCTTCGGTGACCACACGGACGTGATGGCGGTGCTGAGCGGAGGGCGCGTTGAGACAACGGTTAAGTCGGGCGTGTCCCTCTGCAGGGGGAATATTCATTATTAGTCAAGCAATTGTCAGGGGACGATTTTTTTTGAAATTATTTATCGGGGGGATTGTTTCAGTATTTTCATTTTTCGCACAAAATCCCCCTGTAGGGGGACAACCAGAGTAAGGGTGCGCTGCTTTCTCAAGGCTACCCTTGCACCTTGCATCCCTGCTTCTTCGGCCCATCCTGAGCCAACGCTGGCGTCCGATGAGCTCTAAATGGTCGATGGGACTTCCATGTGTCTTGCATCCCTGCCCTGCATCCTTACTGTGGTTTCTGACTGTTGCTGGCCTTCGGGGCCCCCCTCGTCGCCACGGCGGGACGCCGCGCGGCAAGCCGGTGCGATCGGCTCCCGGGCACCCGGCGGCGAGCCAAGAAAGAAAGCGAGAGGGTGCAGGCCTTCTCGGAAGGCGGAGGGGCTTCGCAGAAGATCGCGCGCGGTCTGCGAAGCCGTCTGCGGCTGT